GGGCCTCTCACTGTTGTGGCCTCTCCCGTTGCGGAGCACAGGCTCCGGACGCGCAGGCTCAGCGGCCATGGCTCACGGGCCCAGCCGCTCCGCGGCATGTGGGATCCTCCTGGACCAGGGCACGAACCCGTGTCCCCTGCATTGGCAGGCAGACTCTCAACCACTGTGCCACCAGGGAAGCCCCAGCCTGAACTCTTTACTCCTTTCCTTCAATCCATGTCGTACGCTGGTTCACCCTTCCCTCTCTGCAACCTCGAAGCTTTCTCCATGTAGGAATTTGGGGCATTCGTAGAGCTCACCTAATTTTTTTCCTGCCTCTGAGGAACTAGACAGGTTAATTTACCTGTTCATGAACACCCTATAAAGAGAATCATTCACTGTGTGCTCATGTCTGACTTCTTTCATTTAGCGTAATAATGCTTTTGATGTTCATCCACGATGTTACATGTATTAGTTGCTTGCTCTTGTGTATACCCAAATGATATTCCATTTTATGAATATACCATGGTTTGTTTATCCAGGCTCCTTGTGATGGGCATTTGGGTTACTTCCTGTTTGGGGCAGTTTTAAATAAGGTGGCTCTGATCGTTATTGCACGTGTCTTTGTGGACATATGTATTTTGGTGTCTGTAAGAGTGGAATTGCTGAGTCATAAGATTGGCGTAGGTTTAAAAATATGTATAAGAAATTGTCAAGCCGTTTTCCAAAGTAGTTGTACCATTTGTCTCCCATTCTCGGTAACATTTCATCTTCTCAATGAATTTTAGCTATTCTGGTGTGAGTCATGGGCTCTGTGAGTCCATGTGGATATAGGTTACGTTAGAATACACTGTCACATATCAGCAAATGGGAATATGATTGGTGTTTGGTTTTGAAGGCAAATTGAACTTTTATAAGATCCTCAGCTACAGCTGTGAGCCTTGACACTACAAACACGGATTTGGTGCCTAAGTGTTTCACCTCGTCCCAGTGCCGGTGTGTGTAATGGGTTCAGTTCTGTACCAAGTTTAAGGAGGAACTGCTATCTTGTCACCCTGGTCTAGTGACAGCTTCTCCTCAGTACATCAGTTCAGAGAGGCTAAGTGGCCAGGAAGGCCAGTTGGTTAGTGACCTCTGCTATAATTGTGCTGTTTGCTGATCGTTTCTTCCAGAGGAAGAAGCATTAAGATTCTGGGAATGCCTGTGGACTCCTTTGTCACAGAAGCAGTGGCTGTAAGCCTGCAGTTTGTAAGCTTATACGCAATCACATAAGCCCTTCACCCAGGCGATTATGAACTGGTAGCATGTGGGCCGCCACCAGGGCCCTGGCACCGGGCGTGCTGACGGGGCATCCCAGGCCCCTGGGATCCCAGCCTTGGCAGGGTGCTGTCTTGTTCTTTTCTGTTTGCCTGGTCAAGTTCCTGTTTCAGCCCTTCACCAACTCGGCTGGATTTATTATCTCCTGAAAGGGAAAAGAAAGAGCAAACGGACTATGAATGGAAGAGCTGACACTTTCTCTCTCTACTTTTTCAGCCGGAAGAATTAACTTCGAGTCTGCACAGTTTTAAGAACAAGGCCTTTAAAAAAGCCAGAGTCTGTGGGGTTTGCAAACAGATTATCGAAGGTCAAGGGATTTCATGCCGAGGTGAGTCCGCATTTATCGTTCCCATGTTGATTAAACCGAAGCAAGCAGACAAACAGAAAACCAAAATGAAACCTTCTTTCAGGAGTTTCCAAGAGTTAAATCACGGAATTCCCCATCTCAGCCTGAGTTTCCCCCTACCCTCACTGGACCGGGACTGACCATATTTATTTACACAGATATGTGCTCATGAGAAATGTTTCCAGCAAGAGCAAAGCTAGTCATATGGGAGAGGGGGCAGCAATGAGTGGCTCACGATGTATCTTCCGTCTGTCCTGTAGTGTCGGTAGCTCGGGTTATTCTACTTTCTGATCTCTTACCAGAGTTTACGGATGAAAACTTTCGGCTCTTTTGAGTGAGGGTCATCGCATTACTGCCCTTTCAGCATGTTGTCAGGCATTGCTCCTGTTGGTAAACAGCCACCAGCTTCACTATTTGGTGCTTAAACCCCAGGTAATCAATGCAACTTGCTATTTTTTGTGCTTTCACGTTAGTAAATCCGTCTAAGGGACATGTGAGGCAGACGTCTCTTGTTTCCCTTGAACCCTAGAATTGTGGTTCTGTGTCACAGAGCGGAGGCAGGTTGGGGGACCTGGCAGAAGGCTTTGGGCTGTTCCGGGGCTTCTAATCACCGGTGGGTTTAGGATTTCCTCCGTATAACATTTTCAGGGCTGCCTCTATCTAGGCTCCCTTTCCCCACTGTGGACACCCTGGCACACGGTCCCTGACGGCTGCTTTGGGGTTGGGCAGCCTCGAGGAAAGATGCACGATGGTCACACTTCGTTGGGACCCAAGAGCGGGCAGGAGGCAGCTGTGCCCCCTCCTTTGAAGGGCCCCTCCACGGTCAGTGATGATGGTGCCCTGGTGCCATCAGCACGTCACCAACTCCCACCTGTCCTTTCCCCGCTGCGGCCTCGTGGGGATGCCAGAAGCCCCCTCCCTCCCCGGCCCCCCCAGGGGTCTCTATTTCAAAGTTGACACACCTGCTTCTCAGAGTGCATGGCCCTCTCACCTTGTCCCTGGATGCAGCCTGTCTCACGGGGCCTGGTGGCTCCTCTCCATGTAGAAAGGGTGAGCCGGGCCCCGGGGGCTTAGGGGTCACCTGTGGAGATGCACATGGGACATGGATCCAGTGCCAGGCCTCCTCAGCATGGGCCCTCTCCCCGTATCAGCAGGCGTGCATGGGTGTGTACGTACATGAACACGCATGTGTGCATGTGCAAACACACACACGGACACGTGCTCACAGGCGCATATGCACACACATGGAAACGTAGAGGAGGGTGTGACAGAGACATGGCTGCGCTAGGAGCACAAGCTGGTGCTCTGAGTCTGTCAGGGGCAAAGTCTCCTGCTGTGAGTCCATGACATGGGTTGTAACCATCCTCCTCTGGACGGCTGGTGCGAGGTCCGAATGAGACAGGTGTGAGGTGCTTAGCCCACGTTCTGGTACTTAGCTTTGCAGTTGCTGTGATGATTCTTTTTCCTCAATGCCCCCAACTGAATGTGCCATGGGTGATTCCCACGTGGGTGACACCCAGGGTCCTTGGCTGGCTGCTGTCCACACGTGCAGGTCATGAGCACAAGCGAAGGTGGTTAAGCTCCATAGGCACAAGGGCTGTTTCCCACATACGTTTAACACGGCCTGGTTGTGACAGATTGTCTCTGTGGAGAGCCAGTTTCCTTCTCGTCTCTGCACAGCTGAGGTCTGAGCTGACTAAGGAGCTATCCCAAATGTCCTTTTTAAAATCTCAGTGCCTCTGCTCTAACCACCTACAAAAAACAGTTATTCTTTTCAAAGTAAATAGAAGCAGTGAGATCTGACCAGCTTGGAGATGGCAGTGCCCAGCAGCCAGGCTCTCCTCTCAGGTCAGGGCCTGGCTCCCTGCTTGGTCCCGAGGATGCTCACGGCCCCCAGCACCGTCTAGGGCTTGGAGTGAGAGTGCATGTCCGGGCTTGTGCCTCCCTCCCTGTCCTGCAGCTTCCCAGGCCCATAGGGGCCAGGAGGGGTCCCAGATTATCCTTTGGTTCTTAACGGTCTGTTTTATGGCATTTTTAGTGTGTAGTGTGTGAGATGTCAGGGAGGACCGAGGGGCCTGTCGGAATGTTGTGGATGGCACGTGGTTGTGCGTGCACCTGCTTGTGCACCCCCTGGAATTCTGTTGGGGGAGGGCAGCCAGACCTCAGGATCCCACTGGGTGCTGCCCTGCCTGGGGCCATCTTGGCCCCGAGAACGCTGTGCGTGCCCAACACGGGAGGGCGGCAGGGCAGTGACAGTCCGGCCTTGTGCAGTGCCGTCTCGTGACCCGTGTGGCCCATGCTTCTCTGCTCCAAGAATCACTGTGTGGTTACGTATTATCTCACAATCTAGCCCCATGGAGATCACTTTTTTGACCCACCTAGTTTTCTTTTCCTTGAAGAAAATCATTCACTGACAACGGTCACGTAGGTGCCCTCTCCCTCAGGGGGGTTCATCTCCACATCTCATTGCCCCTCAGGGACACTCTGCCACTGTCTCCTGTGCAGGGAAGCCAGGGCAAACACAATGTGACCCCAAGGCGCCCACACCCGCGTGTCGCCCCAGCGCTTGGCTGGGACGCTTTGCATAGTTTGGAGGCAGTGGAAACAGATCAGGGGTTGGGCGCGGGTCCCGGGGCAGCTCCTCTCTCACGTTTCCCTTCCCGGTGCGTATGCCCCAGCAGACGTGCCACGCTCCCTGTGTGCACACCTGGCCTCTCCTTGTGTTATCTCAAGGCCACGTTCTTCTGTCCGAGCCCTCCAGCTGAGGGGATGTGTACGGACTCTCCCTGAGGGGCCCTGGGTCCATCCCTCGTGGCCGGGTGGTGGCATTTGCTGCCCTGAAGCACGTGGCCGGGACCGCTGGCTTGCAGAGGCCACCTCTGGGGCCTGTGTGGCTTGGGGAAGCCATGTCCTTGGCCCAAGGACTCAGCCGCCTGGACGTGGGCCCCGGAGAGCTGCGCTACTTGGAGAAGTAACTGGGAGCAGGTCTGCGTGAGGGCCAAGGCCCAGGACTTGGTGGAGAGGCCCGCTGACATCAGGGATGCCTGTGTGCCCGGGGCCCCACGTGGGTTCCAGGGCAGGTAGTGGGCGGTGTGGAAGGAAGCCCAGTGACGGTTGCCCGTGCCGGCATCAAGTCCTGATTTCTGGGTCCTGCATGGAGGCCGTTCCTAATGTGGTGAGTGTCACCCCTTGGGCACATGTGCATTGAGGGGCTGGGGACTCACCTGTATCACTGTTAGTGAGATGTCTGCCGGTTTCTCTTCAGAAAAAGGTTTTCTAGAACTCCCTCATATGGTGGAATTTAAACACCTATGAGAATACTCAATGGATGATCGTATTTATGTACCTAACTGTAATAACTGTGTGAATAAACAGTAGCTACTCCTTTTTGAGAAGGAAGGAACTCTATGTGTCAGGAGTCCTTTAGACGTTACCTTCTTAAATTAAACTGCTGTGTGCGGGAGATGCAAGACTCCATCCCGGGGTGGTTGTGACCGTCTGCCTCTCACAGATGCCATCGTGTGTGAAGTGGGGCTGCTGCTGGACTGGGAGCCCGGCAGTCTCTGCGGGTGTAGACGGGGCCTGGCAGGGTCAGTGATTGGCTCCTGCAGAAGTTGCTGTGGCCCTGGACAGGCCCCTTCCCTGGCCCTCAATTTGGTGACCTTTACAATTTGCGTGTCGAGTAGTTAATGTCTAGGATTTCTTCCTTTTGTCAGTAAGCTATACAGGTACCGTAAAACACTCGGACAGTATAGCAGTTTCCTCTCCCTGTAGTTTAGATGTATGTCATATACATTTGCACGTCGAGGCCGTGTGTGTTTGCTGCCTGTAGACATCATGCGTCTTCTCTCAGTAACCACGCACAAGCTGTGTGAGGTCTCGGCGAAGAGACCCTTCCTTTGGTTCATTTCTGGAGGAGCAGCAGGGCATGGTGGAGGGCAGCATGGACCCTGGAGACAGGCTGCCAGGGTTCCTGCCCTGCCACCCTGTGCTTGAATTCTCTTTTAGAGTCATTGTGAGTAACAGATTAAATGCATGAGGAACACAAAGGACATTGACTGGCTCAAGGAAGTGTCCAGTAGTGTTAGTGATGATGACCGTGACGACGTCGTTATTCCTGTTGGTCATGGTGACATTGGTGATGGTGGAGAAGGTGTGTCCTCTGTGACTAGGGCTTAATATTTTTACTGATTTTTTCACCTATTAACCTATTTTGCCACAAGTTTTTTATGTGGTTAACTTAGAAGAAAAAATTTAATTTTTTTTTTTTTTGCGGTACTAGGGCCTCTCACTGCCGTGGCCTCTCCCGTTGCGGAGCACAGGCTCCGGACGCGCAGGCCCAGCGGCCATGGCTCACGGGCCCAGCCGCTCCGCGGCATGTGGGATCTTCCTGGATCGGGGCACGAACCCGCGTCCCCTGCATCGGCAGGCGGACTCCCAACCACTGCGCCACCAGGGAAGCCCGAAAAAATTTAATTTTTAAGCAGCTGTCGTTTGCACATCGAGGCTCCCTTACCCCTACTTCTCAAACTGTAGCTACAGGGAAAGCCGCAGATGGCCGGTGAGTGATGGGTTAAGTGTCTGGTGTGGTTTGCCTTCTGCTGCTCAGACCCCGCTGAAGTGGTTCATGCTCTGCCCTCCCACCAGCCAGGGCTTTGAACAGGTGACCTCTTCTCACGGCTCCACCAAGATCCCTCGGGTGGCTTAAATGGCCCAGTTTCCACTGACGGTCTTGCTCCAAACCCACACTTGAGGGCACTGGCGGGTGGATCTTGGCGTTCTAGACCTCAGTGGGTGAGCCTTTTCCTGGTTGTTGAGAATTGTGAGTTCTGCGAGATTTGGCCCCATGGGGGAGATGGATCCAGAGAGGATGCAGTGTCAGATCAAGCCTGGATCTAATAATGGAATAGGAGAGAACAGACTGGAATGGAAAAAAATAAAGAAATGCTTCTCAACCGTAGGGAGGAGCCTGAAGGAAATGA